TGAGATTCCACCTCACCCCAGAAAGAATGGCTGCTATCATGAAATCAACCAATAACAAATGCTGGTGGGGCTGTGGGGAAAGAGCAACACTGGTCCAGGTCTGGTGGGAGTGTAGACTGGTGCAGGCACTGTGGAAGTCATTACGGAGATACCTCATATAACTAGGATTGGAAGTCCCATTCTATACCCCTTCTGGGTATCTTCCAGAAAGAATTAAAAGAATCATACCACAGTGATGTATATGCACCCATGTTCATAGCAGCACAGTTTTGTGATAGCTAGAACTTGGAAACAGCCCAACTGGCCATCAACTGGAGACTGGATAAAGAAAGTATGGTTTTTCTATAAAATAGAGTACTACTCACCTGTAAAGAATGAGAAATTAGAGACATTTATAGCTAAATGGATGCACTTTGAGGTAATACTGTTAAGTGAAATAAATAGAACATATATGTGTAAATACCAAATAGTTTCTCTGGTGTGAGAAACTGAAAGTGTAAATAAGGACTAAAAGGTAAAATAGGTAATGTGAAATAGTGAGAAATGGGGCAAAGGGGGAGGAAAGATGGGAGGCATAGGGGAAAGGATAGAAGGGAATGGAATTAATATGAGAAAATGAAAAAGTGGAAACAAAGTCTTTGTAAATAGGGAGCAGAGGAGGTTTTGAAGGAAGGGCAGGGGAATGGGGAAAAAATAAGAACCAAGAAAGATTATGTAAAGGCGCAAATTCCCAATGATGAATGTCATTATATTGTATACCTAAAATGTACCAATAAAATTAATAATAAAAAAGTTGAAGGACTTGATGAAATCAGTGTTGAATTTTACCAATTATTGAAAAATGAATTCTAATTCTTCCCCAATCTAATCCAAAATATTTTCTTCACTCTTATTTAAATTAATTTTATTGATTCTCAAAACATAAAATATATGCATTTTGACCAAGTATCATAAAATATTTGTACATATATGTGCATTGTGCAGTACCTAAATTAGGTTTAACATATTTATCTTCTTCTGTTTTTAATTTTTTTTGATACCAGGAATCTAGCTCAGGGCCCTGTGCTTGCCTGGCAGGCACTGCAGCACTGAACTATATACCTGGCATATTTATCTTCTTAAACATGTTACCAATAAAGAGAAAAATATTACTTCCATATTCATTTTATGAGAATACCATCATTCCTATAAAAGGAAGAATTACAAAAGAATGCTATGGTATAATATCTCTGATGAACATAGATGTAAAATTTCTTAACAGAATTATTTTATAACAAAAAGGTTTAAAATGTTAAAATATCATTCAGTGTGACGTGCTTCCACATATTGGATGTTCTCAGAAAATAAAAAGGAGTTCACTGTGAGTAAATGATGAAATATTTTTAAAAGCAGAACAAGAGAATGAATAACAAAATCATATAATCGTATCAAATAATTCAGGAAAAGTGGTGAAATTTAATATCTGTGAGTGATAAAAACTCTCAAATAGATTTGCACAGAAGAAGTTAAGGTACCTTTAACTATAAAGAACAAATACACAGATAGTATAACACTGCATGGGCAAAAGAGAAAATTTTGTTTCTCTAAAATGAAGAACAAAAAAGGTTAGCAAATCTCCTGACTTCTATTAAATGTAGTGGTGACAGTTCTAGCCAGAAAAGTAAGGGGAAAAAAAGAACTTAAAACCATACAATCAAGAAGATAAAATTCAAGCATTCCATTTACAGATGACATAAATATATGTCCAAAAACTTTAAGCGATCCATCACAGAGGATAAAACTCAAAATAAATTTAGGCAAAATGAAGAGCACAAAATCAAATTACAAAAATCAATAACATCTCTGGATGCCAATTGTAAACTTTTTGAAATAAATTATAAAAGATAAAGTTGCTACATAAAATAAACTAGAAATAAATATAACCAAAAAGTTCAAATATTGATATAATGAAAAATATAAAACAGTGGTGAAACAAATGAAAAAGAATACAAATAAATGAAAAGAAACATTCTGTTCATTAGCCGAAAACTTAATATTGATGTATGTACACAAACATTTTGTCAGCCAGGTTTCTCTTGCTGTAACAAATACCAATGATAAATCAACTTGAAAAGAGCACAGGTTTAACTTAACTTAGGATTCCAGAGGTCTCAGAATATTTTTCCATTGTGTTGTTTCCTTGGATCTGTGACAGTGTAGTACATCGTGGTGGGAATGGTGGTGGGGAAAATACCATTATCTCATGAAGCAAAGAATGAGAGATAAAGTGCAGTGCAGGGTCCCAAAATCTCCTCAGGGAAATCCCCCTCATAACCTAAAATCCTTCCCAAGTTTGGCTGGCATGACTTTGTGCTGCACTATGGGTATGCACTGAATCACTGTGGTGTGATGTCTTTAAATTTGGGGGAAGATGCATAGCAGGGGAATATTGGCATCAAATGGAATTTCTAGATTCACATTTTTGAGGTCTCTTCATATTTATTCTACACTGGCTGAACCATTTATGTTTCTACCAGCAATGCAGAAACTTGTCTTTTGACCTGAACCCTCACCATCATTTCTTATTTCTTGAATTCTTGATGATAGCCATTCCCTCTTTAGTAATATAGAGTCTCAGTATTGTTTTATTTTAAATTTCTAGTAATGGCCACCATATTGAATATATTTTTATGTACTCATTACCATTTGAATCTCTTCTGAGAAATGTTAAGGTCAGCAAACAGAAGCATGGTATATTTAGTGGAGTAGTGCTAGTGCCCTCACATTATTCATGCTGTTATCTAGATGAGATGCTGACCAAAGGTGGAAGGATTAAGCAAAATTTATAGAAGACCATTATTTTCAGCTGAGCCCTGCACCCCTACAAAATAAGACAAACAAAAAATACAATAATTACACTAAATGTAACCTAAACAAATTAAAATTTTTCAGAACAAATAGATGCCAAAACAGACCAGGTTTTCTATAAAACAAGAGATTCTACTGTACCTGAGAGGAAGTAACAAGGAAGACTCTAAGTTTTAGTTTTTATGAATAAAGTAAAATGCAGTTACCTGTCATTAGCCATTCTGGTCCCCTATCAATCTTTCCCTGCTTCCTTATCTCCAGCTTACAAAACACACTCCTCGGCCATGGCCTGGTGTAGGCTCCCATCCTGTTTTGTAAATTGGAGGATGCCTCAATTAATGAAATGGAACTAACATTCAAACCTTATTTACTGAAAAATATATGCTAATTTTGACTCAGGCATATTATTTGACATAGATTTAAATCACTTAAGTTAGAGAAGAAAATATGATAATTGGCAGGGTCTCTGACATGTGGTATTGCTGTTGTATGATGGTATTGCTGTTGTATGAAGATGTTTCTCAGGTGCCTATGTTTTCAAAAAGCAAGATAATAAGCAAAAAAATGCTGAGAAATACATTGCTTAGATAAAACTCTTTTAAATTCAATGCATGTGTAATATGTTAAACACACACAAATTTACAAATACTCATTCCTAGTTCAGTAAGGAAAGAAACTACACATTGTATGCTTCTAATTTTATATACTTTAAATAATAAAAACTGATATAAAGAAAGTTAAATACCACAATATCTGCCTGTAGATAGGGTGAAATAAGGGAAATGAGAGGAAGAGGAAATTTTAGAAAACTAAAAGAGGATTTGAAGAAACTGATCCCTTATATCTGATTTTTAAGATATAAGCTCTTAAAAATATCAATTAGAGAGTCTATACCTCCCCCTCTTCATGGTCATTAGATTAATGTAGGAAATTAATTAAATCTATGACTTACTGGCACATGCAAATCTTAGATAAACTGCCAAGTGTTCATTACAACACGAACAGTAAGGCATTATCTTAGCCTTAATGCTGTCAATGGATCCAAGCATCTCAACACATTCACATCTGCTGTGATCACTACAGTCTCTGAAATACCCAAGCCCTGGGCCTACTTTATAGCAGGAGGCTATGCAAATAGGGGCTCCCTCTGCTGATGAAAACCAGCCCAGCCCTGACCCTGCAGCTCTGCAGAGGAGCCCAGCCCTGGATCCCAGGTGTTCCCATTCTGTGATCGGGACTGAGTGCAGACGGACCATTATGGAGCTTGCGCTGAGCTGGGCTTTACTGGTTTCTCTTTTAAAAGGTGATTTATGGAGAGCAAATGATACTGAGTATGAGAGTGGACATGAGTGGGATAAACAGTGGACATATTTAACAATTTCCTAAGAAAATACTTGTTTTCAGGTGTCCAGTATGAGGGGCAGCTGGTGGAGACTGGAGAAGGATTGGTGAAGCCTGGGTGGTCCCTGAAACTCTCCTGTGCAGCCTCAGAATTCACCTTCAGTGAACACTGAAGGAGCACTGGGGAGGTGCTAGAGTGGATTTCATCTATCAATGAGGGCCGTGATAGTGTATACTACACAGGCTCTGTAAAGGGTCGATTCACCATCTCTAGAGATAACAGCAAGAACACGCTGTATCTGCAAATGAACAGCCTGAGAACCGAGGACACGGCCGTGTATTACTGTGCAAGAGACACAGTGAGGGGACCTCAGTGTGAGCCCAGGCACAACCCTCCCTTCAGAGCCTCCTAGAAACAGCAGGGAGAAACCTGGACACACAGAACACAGTGTGTAACCTAGGAGCAGAGAAAGGTTCAGGTTGAATTTCCTCTCAGGGTCAGTGACTTCCTCCACATGTAATAGTTTGTACCTAGAGACTGCATTCATGATTCTGTCCTTACCACTGGGGTCTCTGAGTTAGAAACGTTTATTTTAATGGAGCACATTTTCACATGCATAAACTCAATTTATCATGTATGATGGTAAAGATGACTCTGTTATGGCCATGAGGACCAGATGATGAAGAAGCTCAGGGGAAACTGGTAAAATCTGCATGGAAGTTGGAATCCACAGTGAGAAGTGTGAGCCCAGAAGCAAACCTAAGCTCTGGGGTGATCATGATTAACATCATATGCTTGCCGGGGATTTAGCTCAGTGGTTTTGCCGCCTGCCTCACAAGCGTAAGGACCAGAGTTCAATCCACGGTACCAAAAAAAAGAGATATGTTTGGTTACACCAGAAGACATGCAGTCCCCCACAAAGGATGGGAGAATCACCATGAAACACCTGGTATAATCAGGATGCTCAAGAGCCAGCCCTTCCTGGGTCCCAACAAAGGAGCAGGTGTACTGAGGACTTGAGGAGACTTTACCTGCTGAGACCCTGGATTCTCCTTTCTCTTCATCCCCCATAAAGTCATCTCTCCCTTTTCATTTTAATGGAACAGCAATGCATTCTGTGTCTCCTTCATTATATCTTCTCAAGCAAGTTTATACCACCCAACATTTTATAACTGTAAACATACTGATTGTTTTAACAATTACATTGAAACATTTAGGCACCAATTAGCTCGCCAAACAAAAATGAACAGTTTAATCTTTGTCAGTATATTCCACTAAAAATAACCCTGCAATCATCAATTCAATGCCATGATAAGCTATTTATAAACTCCTAAAGGAACACTTCACTTATTAATTAATGATTTCCAGTCTCGCTCTTCCCTCTCCCTATCCCAGTCAAGGAAATAACAAATCTATTTTTGTTGTCAATGATTTCCCAACTCTGAAAAATTTTCATGTCTTCTCAAATGAAATTTAGTCCTTGCATGTAAGTTCATTTGGTTAGCAAAATAATTCCAGTTTTATAAAATTTGTACCATGTTTATATGAATAGAAGTAAAATTTGCATAAAGTAACAGTAGCTGATCAGGTTGTGCAGAAACTGGAGCCCTGTTTAATTATGATAAGATTGTAAAATTTCATAGCCACATTGTTTCACAGCTTCTAATATTATACAATTAAAATTTTTGCATGATTTCTGTCATAAGAGATATACCAAAGAAACTGAAATTTCCCATTTGAACAAATCCATTCAAATTGATATTCACAGAATATTTCTTCAGAGTAGATAAATTGAAGAAATTATATAAAAGTTATCAACTCACGAAGGGTAGTTAACATGAATTGTATTATACAGTGGGAATTATTCACTCATAAAAGGAATGGCATTAATATCCACATTATTATGGGTACATATTGAAAATACTCTGATAGGTACAAAAATCCATACTCTACTGCTCTGATGATGTTATATCTACATCATCCATATCTTCACCCACAGAAAATGGAGCTGCAGATTCTAGAGACTGCGGGGAGAGGGATTGGATGGTGAATAACTGGAAATGGGAATAGGTTTTTTTAATGTTTGATGAACGTACAGGTTACCACAATTATGGTAGAGTCATACATGATTTGATATACACAATCCCATTCAATTTCATTCTTAAAATATTGAACAAATTATATTTGAGTTAACTTTCAATCAAAACATAACTAAAACATGACAAGCCAAAAGCTAAAACAGAGCATTTTTCTGGAAAATAAAGAACAAAGACCAATGACAATAATTAGCAGTTCAAGCCTGGCTTGGTAGTGGATGCCTGCAATCTCAGCACTCAGGTGGCTAAGGGAGGAGGATCATTAAGAGTTTGAGATCACCCTTGGCTACATAATGATTTGAAGGCCATTCTAAGTGACATAATAAGACTCTGTCTCAAAAATCCAAAAACATAAAAAAAGGAGTGTGATGAAAACTTACTGTAAATTGACAGTAATCCACTTATACTGAAATGCTGCATAACTAGATAAAACATATCAAATGACAAGAAATAGCCTTTAATATGCATGACAGTTTTTTCTTACAAAATTGAAATAAAAATAAAATCAGTACATTTCACTAAAAAAAGGTAAAGAATAATCATTTTAAATACGTATGTTACTTAAGATTATTGTTACATGAGATTCACCTCCCACATGTTACAATGACTATTAGGAACGAGATAAAAAATAGCAAGTGTTCTCAAACACCTGGAGAAAATGAAGCCTACTACACTGTTGGAGGGAACATAAATCAGTACAGACATCACCCAAACTCTGTGAAGATTAGACATGAGATTAAACATAGAATAACTGAAGATCATCATGGCTGGCTAGGGGCTGGCAACAAGGGTGGTACACTGTAAACCATACATACGACAAAACCAGGTACCTTGGGTGGAATCACAGAGAAAGCCAGATACCAGAGGGCAAATGATAAAGGAAACTCAAAGTGTCAGGCCATCTGGAAGGGCGATCCAGACAGCTCCAGGATGATGGCAACACTTACTCCCCAGGTCCCGAGTCCAGGCCATCTTGGAGAGGATTAGACTCCCACCTGAAACCTCATAGGTGATCCAGCATGTGGAAAGTGTCCACAGTCACTCTAAGCTCCCCGCCAGGAAGAGGGTCACTGTGAGTGACATAGTCACAGACCAGGGCTTCAGAGAAATTGACAGCCTGAGAGTGGTGCATGTGAGGACATGGGTGGGCACTCTGGAATTTGAACACAAGCACCCCCGCCCCCCATTAGGGATGTGAATCTGAGCATTGAGTGAGACAAGGAGACATCAGTGTAAGTCCAGACACAAACCTTCCTACAGGGGCGCTCCCTACCAGCAGGGGGCGGTCAAGATACAGTGAGTTTAGGGTCAGCCATGGAGCAGGTGCAAGGCTGCGGATTGGGGACAGTTAACAGCTGGTTTCCTGTCTAAAGCTTCTTTTTTCTTTTTTGGTACCGGGGATCGGACTCAGGACCTTGCGCTTCCGAGGCAGGCAGCGGAACGACTGAGCTAAATCCCCAGCCCCTGAAGCTTCCTTTCTATCTAATATTTCCCCAGAGAAAATTTTAAATGCATGATCCTGTTCCTACCACTGAATTCTCTGAATTGGGAAAGTTTTATAGAGAAATGTTTATGAGGAAAGAATATGGGGACACATTCTCACCTGCAGGAAAGTCCATGAGTCACTCACGGAAGCAGAAATGGATCCACTTGTCAGCAGGATCAGATCCTGAGAAAGCTCAGGGGAACCTGGTTAGTGTTTTCAATCAGACTCAGAACATAGATCTCTTGGGGTCCTCAGATTGGACAAATTTGAAGACTTAGATTAAATCCAGTGGGCTAATGATGTGAGGTTGATGCCCTGTACTATATGATATAGTTTGCATCAGTCCCTCCTTGGGAGAACTCTTCACAACTTTACAAATTTACAACTGTCTCAGCAGTGGTGGGGTCCTCCTTTACTGCAAAACCATACCATCTATACCAGGGCATTATTGCAAATCTCCTGTTTATCTCCTTCCCCTTGAAAATGGAGGCTGTGTGTTCTCCAGTTTTAACACCAGAGCTCATACCTTAGACCTGGCACTCAGGAGTGGCTCAGGCAATGTCCCCTGCAGGGACCTTGCCAACACCGAGGAACTTTCTCAGTAACAATTGCTTAGGACCTGGCTCCAAAGCAGAAATGGCCTGGTAAAGAAAGACTGCTCACCTCGTGGCAGCCAAGAAGCAGAGAGAGAAGAAATGAGTTGGTGACAACCATACATCTCCCATATCACAACTAGAGACCAGACCCTCATTCACGGCCTCACTTCCACACATGAGACTTCTGTGGACATTTTAGATCCAAACCATAACAACCATTTTCACACCTTCAAGTGACACCTGGACCACTGTTTAACTCAATCACAGGGCAGGATGATCTAGCCTGCTCCATATATTAAACTATCTATTGACATGGTTATTTTAAAATTTATACTGCCCAAGTTTTTTTGATTAGTAAATTGGTTAAAATATTTGTTATTATTTATCTTCCAATAACCACTAAGACTGGTGTAATTTTGTAATCACTGTTTAAAGGAATATTTCAGCCTTTTGAAGATAAATGCAAAACAGTAGGATGGGTCTAGGCAGCCCATGGTGAACATATGAGCCTGGGTTGAGGAAAGGTTGGAAAGATATGAACTGATTAAGAAGATTGGCTTTGATTTTTGGAAAATTTAACAGAATTTACCTTTAAAGCTAACTGGTTGGGTTATTTTTTCTTTTTTCCATTAATAACTAAATCTTGTTATTTATAATTGGTCATGCAAAGTTTATATTTCTTCAGTGTTTTATTCTTTTCAGATTGAATGTCAAGTGAATCATTCATATCTGTTAGGTTACAAAATCTGTGCAAAATTATTTGTTATATTTCCTATATAAAAGTACACACATAAAATATATAAAATCATTCATTATTTAATATATACTATAGTATACATTATTTATTATATTTTACATATTTGTATATTAATAAATAAATAACATACAAAATATACAGAGTCGCCAAAACAGTATACACACCAGAAAAAAATAGTATGTTTTTTTCTACAGATTGTGTTACCTTTGTATGGGGGACTCTAAAGGACATTGCATATTGCTGAAAACTTGCTACACTGACAGCTCTTAGAGAAGAAATTGAAAATGCATGTGCAGCATTCTCAGTAACTAAGGTTACCCAACCAATAGTTTGCTGTGCTAATAAATGTCTGGAAACTAAGGGCCACCACTTTGAGTACTTCTTTTAATTGTAGAAGCCAAAGATAATTTGTATTAATCTCACGATGTCTCAATAAATTTAGTTTTAAAATGTTTATACAAGGTTTTTCTTTTCTTGAAGTGTGTAAATGAATACACATTTTTGGAGGAATATAAACATATATATATGGCAATCATTCTAATATTGCATCTTTCATCCAGATTTTGAGAACAATTTTTCATTATTTACTTAATAGTTGATCAGTTCTGTTTATCTGTGCAAACAAAAGTTGTGTTCAATATTTTCTTTCATTTTAAATTTTAAAAATTTAATTAACATGTAATGACTGTATATATTTATGGGATATAGTATAATATTTTAAAACATAGGTATACTAGATTTGATTAACTCTGGCTGATTAACATTTCTATCACATCATGACTTTGCATTTGTAGACTTTAGGTTCCTCTCTTCTAGTTATTCAAATGTATTTAACAGGAGACTGTGAACTATGCTTACCATTCTGTGCTGAAGAGTTCAGAACTTATTGCTTCTTTTTAACTCTTTTTGGCATCTGTTAGCTAACGTCATTATTCCTACAACATTTTGCAGCCTCTTATCATCATTCTTCTACTTTCTGCTCAACTTGTTTTATCATCCACACATGAGCGAGAACTTGCAGAACTTGCTTTTATGTATCTGACTTCTGCAATTAACACAGTGTTCTCATGTTCAATCCATTTTGCTGCAAAGGACAGGATTTCATTTTTTAAAGGATGTGAAGATTAAAGAAGTGTATATGTTATTTTACATTTTATTTCTGCTCTGTTATTTAATAATTCTTGCCTTTTGTAAAATTTCAGCTTAGTTTCCTCTTTCTTGTCTTGGTCACTGACAGGGGAACACAGATGTTGTGTTGGAGTCCTTGTCACTGTGGAATGCAGGTGTTCATCACTACAAGCTTCCTATTCTCACTGTTTCTGTCTGCTATATCCCAACAATTTTCATGTTGTGTTTTAATTTTCATCTTGAAGATCCCATTCAATTTCCTTTTCATTAATTTTTTGATCCAAAGTTTGTTCAAAAATGCATTGTTTGGTGTCTATATATCCTTAGTCCATTTTCCATTGCAAGTAACCCAATATCACAAACTGGAAGCTAATAATTTAGAGGTGAACTATTGCCCAAAGGTGCACATGGTAAAGCTGTATTTCCTAGGGTGGTTCTATGGGGAAGTGGTGAAGCACTTTAGAGGTGAGGTCTGGTTGGAAGCCCTTGGCTACTGGGGCATGGCCTTAAAGGGGAC